CCTTTGGGTTAGCAGTTAAATGCCTAAAACCACTACACCCCTGTGGCTCATTTATGAAGCGACCTTTAAATATTAAATAAAATCCAATGGCTATTAGTGCCAGGTGCAAACTTTTCCAAGAATTATAAATTAAGACGGCCACTTGTGCCAGGTACACACCTTGACAGTACCATCGGAAGTTTTTTCAAAATGTTCTAATGCAAGGACACTGACAAAAAAACAACTTGACACTGAAGGATGTTTCTGACTCACCTTATTAGACTCCACCAATTTCCAACAGACAAGTGTACTTATAAAACCAATGACAGAAAGACCACTACTTTGTAAGACCCTTTCTTCAATTAAGAACATACCTAAAACCCAATTATTATAACTTCCCTACTGGAAATCCTCTAACTGCCTTTAAAAACTCTGTACTTGCATTGCTTGAATGAGTCCCTTGCCACTTTCAGATTTAATGCTCCCTGTTCTGGAACAGCTTATCACTCAATAAACCCCATTAAATCTAATTGACTCATTAAATTAATTTTTCTTTCAACACCAACATATCAGCCTTAGAAGGGCTCCTTCAGCTTGTCATGTGAGAAAAATAAAATCCTTAATTTGTCTAACCCACTACTTTAGGAGCTGTTACTTGCAGTCAAAAGCAATTTTTAATCGATATACCTTTTACAGCTATAATATGGAAAAAGACAAAATGATACCTCAAGTAGACACACGCCCTGGAGAGAACAATCATGGGAGAAGGAAGGTCTGCTTATACACAGGGAGACAGCTCAGGGGGCAGGAGAGTATGGAGGGATGGACGCTGAGAAGTGGTAACTATGGGGAGGAAGTGGGAGGGGAGCTGTTGCATCGTGGTACACTGTGGTCAATGACATGAGACAAAGTATATGTGAACTGCTGTATGGAAAGTGAATTTGCTCTGTAAATCTTCACCCAAATCACAATAAATTAAATAAATAAAGACAAATGATTTTCAGGAAAAGTAACCATGAGGTTTTATTAGATCCCCAAAGATAAAAGAGTACTAACCTTATAAATTGGACCTCATAACTAAATATATCCTATTCATTCTACTACTTCTTGCTTAATTAATTTAGTAACTCTAGTTGTAGAGATATTGGTGAGCAAAACACATAACTACCCTACTTATAAAAGAAAGAAGAGGAAAATCCAAATGACTTTCATATTTCTGTAAAAGTTAAATTTTATCAGAAGTTATAGAATCAAAATGCTAAAAAAAAAAAAAAAAA